TTATTGGAAGAGGTATAAGGAATTTCAAGTATATCGAAATGTTTTGAGAGATTAGACAACTTTGAAAGCAAATGCATATACATATATCCATATCCTATTATCTTTATACACATTTTTAGGTAATATTCAAGTAAGCAATTTTATCGTTTTACATTGAAAATGTTAGATTCTCTCGAAAATATGCTGAACTTTTCATGAAGTAATTTACTGTGGAGAAAATGTAATGTTTCTTCTGAATGACTTAACATTTTACAAGCAAGTAGCCTATATCAAACGTATAATTCAAACGTATAAATAGTATGCCTGCTTATAAAATGCATATTTTTTTCTATAGTTAATGAAATTATAAAATAAATTTAAAAATTACTTATAGTTTGTGAGATATTTTTTAATTGGACAATAATAATATCACAAATAGCGTTAATTTCGTCATTTAACTTCATTCTTCATTTTTTCTCTAGTATAATTATATAAATTATGATTGCAATGCAGTTTTATACATAAATTTAAATTATCGAAAAAAGATTGCATTAATTTTTTTAGGAAAATGTTTTGCACAAATTTCCTTTTAATAGTTTTAGAATTTAAATTCATACATATTTCTCGTTCTTATATGTACAAGAATATATTGTCGTTAGCGAAAAAAATCTTTTTATAATATTTTCCGAAACAAGGTGAGAAATATAATTTTTCTTCATTTTGTGTCGGCCTTTGTAAAAATTCCTAGAATGCGGACAAAAATACGGCTTCGCTTTGTCATAACGATTGACGGATTGATGGCAAGTACCGAAGTCATTCGTGTCTTAACCGCAGTAACGGAATCCAATAGACCCGCCCTGAGAAATTTCTCCTCTCGACAGAGCAAGTCATTGCGCGAAACTTTGCGAACATTATTGTGCATTGGTGTAATATTATACACGTAATCGCTCTCGCGAGAAATGCGCGCTGCGGTTTTGAATTCTCCGATATTGTGTTCTGTCATTGTCCTTATTCCCATTGTCGCTTGTATTGAAAATCATTATTATGAAACTTTAAAAAGTAGGACATGTACAATGCAAGTGGACCACTCTCTTTTGAATTTAAATAGAATTTAAATATATAAAATTTAAATAAAATATACTAAAAGAAATGAAAAAATATTTTGGATTCTCTGTTACAATCGATCGATTTATATTTAAATTGTAAGTGCTGCAGATTTATTAACAGCGAATACATTAAAAAATTGCAGATATACGCCAGAAGTAAATATAAAATAAAAGATAATATTTAAAATTTCTGAAGAAGTTTTGAGTTTTTTTAGTCGTAAAAAGGGCATTCTTGTAATGTTTAAATTTGTTAGATTGGAGAATGATCTCTCTCTCTGAACTCTAAACTCTTATTAATATACTCGTGTCTGAGGTAATTTAGTGTGTAATTTTTTATGCGCTTATCAAATGATGTTATGATCGCAATTTATCGATACTGTCTTGTTGTTCTGCTATTTGACCAACGCGATAACCAGGTACAGTAGATGTTATCTGCTCTGTTGCATTGGTTGCGCCCACGTACGTAATATTTGATAAATCCAACATGTATGTATGTGTGCAGCGTCACGTTATATAAACAGGTAAGCCGAAGAAGTTTTGCTAAACAATGAATCGTATCTTATCACGTGCAGAAGGGATGTGATTTGCATAAATTTGTATCGTTTCGTGTGGAAAATTAATATTTATGATAATGTCCACGAACAATAATTAACTTTGTTTATTATACTCAAAAGAATATACAAAAGAATTATTATATCATCGTATCTATTCATGATTATGAATATATTCATTAATCATTATACCAACGTATCTATGTGCATTGCATTAAATCCGGTTACATTCAAATAAAATTTTTTCTTGCTTAAGTAAAAGGATATTCGTCGTATTGCATCAGATGATTTCACGAATATATGCCTTGAAGCACTTTAAATTTGCATTCGGATAAAATGTTTTATGTTTTTATGTTATATGAATCGTATGTCACATCTGCATTAAAACTCCCACGATTTCCGTCCTAAGATATGCGTTGAATGCGTAAGTAAAATTCAATAAAAAAATATTACGAACATATATCACAGTTAATATAGTAGGTAGACAAGCATTTAATAAGAGATTAGTCATCGCCGAGATACTACATGCGCATATGTATATATAGTTAAATGATTCGATGATTCATATCGTCGCATATCTCGGTCGATGTATTTAGCCTGTATTAGAAATAGATTTCATGGAAAAAGATTTGTAAATTACCTATATGAATTCTCGATGCTCTACTTTTAGTAAACTAATTTTTTAATACAGGAAATTATAATATTTTATGTTCATAGTTGTTTTTGGCAGCAATACTTTTATTTATAATTAAAGCTAGAAAAATTCAGCATTTTGTAAAAATGATATGTCATTCGATTTTGAGATAAAACAATTATTGATAATTGTTGATATCTTGATTCAGAATTGTTTGTGATAATTTTCTGCATATTTAGTATATTTATCGCGCAGAATTTGTTATTTAAAAAAACCAACTTTCTTAAAATTATTTAAGTATATAAATTAAATTACTAATTCTAACTTTAATATTATATTTTTCTAATATGTCAACATTGTTTTTAAATGATATAATATGTGATATACATTATATTACGATATGCATCATATAATTTTGAGAATAATTTTTTTAATTTTTATTATTAATATAAACGCAACATTGGAATATTTGACTTTGGAAACACGAGCTATTTCTTTCACTTATAAGTTTTGTCATAACGTTTCATTCTGTTAGTTCTTTATTGTATTCGTATTTGCAACATCATATTGTGTAATCTGAAAAAATGTTTGCGGTTATTGTTTCTTATCATTTTATATCCATTATTTTATTATTTGCATCTATCGTATCAACAATCGAAAATGTGCAATCGCATGGGAAGACACGCTGGACCTATTGTTTTCCAATTTTCTTCGTTTGCAGCTGTGTTCAACGTTATTTTTAGCGCGTTTTCTCTCCTTTTTTCGCGTTAAATTCGAGGAACTCGAATACGCATCGGTCGACAGAATAATTTTTTTTTCGTCGGACACGTAACAATGACTATCCCTCGTGATCTCCGGACAAAGAGAGGCCGGAGTTGCATGCCTATTATTCGTACGCACTGTGCACCGGCTTATTACGTAATCGTGTAGCACAATTACCGGGCGAGACAACGCGTAGGAATCGCATATGGGAAACGAAGTCACGACACAAATCTCGATTACGTCTCGCGAGACAGAATTAATTAATATGCATAAAGTGTGTTGAATCCGATTTACATGATCCATCTTCGACGACTGTGTCTCCGAATATAATATTGACTTATAGTATATTGGTGTCACGTCGAAAAAAGTTCGGTCGTTAAAATAATTCCTGATGAAGATTTTTTGGGAAAAAGATTACAATATGATTTGATTTATTTTCGACGAGAAAATAATTTAAAAAATGTTTTACATTAAAAATTCATAAATTATATTAGAAAGCAGCAACGCGAGTAACACAAGTTCGCATTTAATTTCTATTAATACAATGCAAAGTATTTTCTTAGTTGTTGCGTCATAGTACCAGTATTTTTGATGCAGATTGCGATATGACTTCATCGATATACATATGTTCACGCATGTCATTCAAATGCATTCTCACGCATTCTCATTTACCAGAAGTCCATGTATGATTATGCGTCGATTTCTATCTCGTTTGGTAGGCACCGGATAGTTTCTTGTATCGCAACCTAAATTGATCGAGTTGTTGCTGACCAGAAAGTTTCGAATTTCAATCAGCTGATTAGCGATCGATTATTAATTTTCCTATTTTAATTTGCATCGTATACAGTGTTTTACGCGTGAAAGGCAAGTTATTCGCTCGTGCTGTTTCAAATAATTTATCTATGCACGATTGATTCATCGGAATTAATATTCGCGCGTGGTTTCAATGCATTTTTTATCCGTATAATTAATAAGTTTTCGTAATTCGCAACGTGTTAAGACATGCGCTTAAAATGCTCCAGAATAAGAAATAACTCAAGTAATAATAGTTGTCGAGTATAATAACTTACAATTAGAATTGTTGTCACATAAAATAATGGGCTCTACAATATACATGTATATTTATTTTTATATTTAAGCGTTACTGTAATTAATTATAATAAACTATTTCGAGAAGTTTTTACGGATTAAAAACGCCACGTAAAGCTAGAAAAAAATATGCATTGCGGTTATTCTATGTATTTCAGAACCTGGAAATTTTTGTTCCAAACGTAATGATATAGGAACTGATTCAGAGAAAAGTTTCTAACGAGGTCGTGTCGAGGGAGTGCTCGCGTAAAATTCATTTTATTCCCAGCAGATGTGAATTTCTATTTAATCGTAGATAACGTTGCTCTTGCGAAGTAATGACGATAGCAGACATGCAAATATCGTTATCGTGCACGAGCACACATTAAAGCTTACCGTACGCGATGTAAGAGGAAGAAGGAACGCATTTTTCAACGGATTCAATCGCGTAATCTCCGAGGAACAGTTCGCTTTATACCGTTTATTCCGTGCCTATTATAATCGACATGCAGCACAGAGAGAGGATGTTCATGATAAGAGTGACGTCGTTGACCGCTTGTCGTTCACTTGGAACTTGCATTATTCAGCGAACCTCCGCGCTTCCTTTGTAGAAGAGGTCGCCCGGGGAAATCTATGTAAAATAATGCGAGAGACTCATATACACGAGATATTCTCGCGAAGGAGAGAAAAAGAAGGAAAGACACGCGAAACTCATCTGAAATACGACATAACGGGTATTTTGAAAATGAGGAATAGAATTTGAAGCTATTTGGCGAAAATTTATCCTTTGAATATTCCGCGAAATAAATTCGTCCCTTTAGTTTTAGATGAGGAATTCTTTTTTTTAGCAATAATATGCTCTCTCAATGACGATTTTTTAATTATTTTTTTGTATCGCAGACATATACCAAAAGCCAAAGCCACCACGATGGCGGAGACACCGGAGCTGAAACGTATTGCAGAAAACACGAAGATACAGAGTAACGTGAAATACCATGCCGAATTTGAGAAAGCAAAGGGAAAATTCACGCAAGTAGCGGACGACCCGGAGACTCTCAGAATCAAGCAGAACAGTAAGATAATCTCGAATGTCGCTTATCACGGCGAGCTCGAGAAGAAGGCAATCATGGAGCAAAAGAGGACAATGACCGGAGAAAATGGCGAACAAATAGGTAAGGTGATGAATCTCTGGATAATAAAATCGTATGTCTTCTTTCCATTGTTGCTAAAATATAATGTAGTAACATACATATGTATCGTATTTCCTTAATTTATTTTTGTTAATGTTGATAATGGAAAATATAATTGCCGCACATGTTTTTAATATTATTTTATTATTGTATTGTTTCGTTGCAAAAAGTCATATCATTAGATATGGATTGTAATAACAATAATTTTTATGTAAAACTTTATTGCCACAAACTTAATCATAAACTTGCTTTCTGAAACTTGCTATCATGATTACTGTTGAAAAAATCTCATTGATCAAAATGTGATTTTGTAATTTGATTAAACTGGAAACGCTTTTTCCCTGATTTTTATGTACATCAATGTTTCACAACAATTATCTAACTTTTCACCAATACAATCATTCTTTTCCCCCGAATAATCAAACATATATTTCGCACAGATATAATCATCTAGTATAAATCAATTATCTTTTCAACTCTTAACATACTTTAACTTAATAATAATTTACATAGTAACATCTGTGTAATTATGAAATTGCAAATTATATGTGCTATGTATGCATTATTATTTGTGATAATAATCTGTAATTTATATACACTAATATATATTTCTAATTTATGCATTAATTTCATATATTTTAATTTACATAATAAAAGCAATTACAACAATCATGAAAAAGCATTGCAATGCATTGCTGCTCAACCGATTAAAAATGTAAAATGCAGTCGAAGGATTAACACGTATACGAGTTTTTTTTTTATTTTTTTTTTTTTTTTATTCTGCCCTCGCCGTTAATCATAGACAGACCATTGGTCGCTTCTCGTTGAATCTATCGCTAGCTTTTCTTGTGCATTGTTCATATAGAATATGTAGAGTACACAGACGGTACGATCGCCCCTGCATCGAGTTTAAATGCCAATCCGCCGCCTCCGAGAACGGCGAATTCGCCGGTACAAAGGACACCAGGTAGGATCGCTGATTACGATCCCCTTTGCGAAGCGAGACCGAGTCCTTATTCCGCAAGGCAAGCTGCCACCACTGTCATTTACACGAGTGACAAGGGACCAGGTGCGTTTATCTTCGCGACTGCAATCGTTGCAACTATTCGCTATGTAGACGTTGCATGACTATATATTATATCTTATTATAACATGGACTTATATATATATTGCATAATATATTTTTAATATATTTTTAAATTAATATCATTTAATTAATTAATATAATTATTTTAAATTATTATCATATAAATTACATTTAAAGCATATTAACATTTATTATACAAATATTGATTTTTTATAATAAGACGATATAATGAGATATCACTTTGGACATGTATCCACGAATAATTGTATTTTTTGGTTTTTTAATTTATATATAAATCATTGATGGGAAAAGATAAACGCGAAGAAAAACTACAATTAACATTATGATGAATTTGACTGACTATCTAATCATTTGTATTTTATGACTGTCTTATGATCACGTGGGATAAAATACGTATCTGTAGTTTTAAGAAATCAATTTTTATTGGATTATATTCTTATACAATAGACAAAGCTTTTAGCTATTTCTATTTTAAGCGCCGGAGTTAATACGATCTTTGGATTGTAATGTCGTTTGGAAGTTTTATCATCGCTTGTACATTTTATATTTGCATCATTATGCCTACATAATATCATTTTGAATCATTATAAAGATAGATCGTCGAAGCACTTGTTAATTTGCACTGGAATTAATCGTTGCGACATCGCTGCGTTCATCTTGTTGAGGAAATAGAAAGTCACTCATCATTTTCGTTGCAATCATCTTTGTTTTTAACATTTCTTGTTTTGTGGTTCCGTGTTTACTCATTGCTAAAACTTTGGAATAATTTATGTTGGCAGATCGAAGAAAAGATTATGTATATAAAATAACAATTGTTATTAAACTGAGCATAAAGGGATGTTTATAACAGAATGAATTAAGCATTTATATAAATGTGTAGAAAGTTATTTGTAAATTATTATTTGCATGTTTTGTACATGGAAATGTGACATATTGCAGTGACGAATCCGCCAACACGAAAAATTGGCTCGGTTGCTGACATCGATCCTGTAAACGAATATTACGGATCGTTAACGCCAGCCACAACAATAAACAATAATCAGCATCAACTTCAGCATCAACCACCGCCACCGCCTCCCAACGTTGGGGTAAATATTTTTTTAATTATTTGAATCGCATTATATTGTTTATCATCTTGAATATAAAATATAAAAATCAATATAAAGTATAAAAATTATATATATTTAACATTTATTTAAAATAATTACTTTAAATATTACGAGTTTATTACAAAATTTATTCTTGTGCAATATTTTTCATAAAATTTGATATACATATATATCAATATTTTATTTTAAAATATTGATTTTGCACAAAAATAAACTTTTTAAATAAATTCTTTAAATAAAAATAAAAGAAAAATAAAGTATTATATAAATTAATGTAAAATAAATAGAAAGATTCCAAACGTTTAATATATCATAGCATATGTGATCTGATGTTTTTTCTCCTGCTGCAGAGAGTGTACAGAGCGATGTATGACTACGAGGCGCAAGACCTTGACGAGGTGAGTTTCTGCGACGGCGATTTGATTGTCAACTGCACAGCCGTCGATGAGGGATGGATGACCGGACTGGTGCAACGTACGGGGCGACACGGCATGCTACCTGCTAATTACGTCGAACCGGCGCAGATTTAAACACTTGTTTTTCAAATCGAGCTTTCATTCGCTAATTACCGTTATTTAAGTCGCAGCGCGCTTATTAATCGGTGCGTTTTAATGAAGGAAGAGACGATAAGGAAAAATACGCAATATAATACTCGAGGCAATGCTTCTATCCGGTTCTTGTTATTCGTAAGATTATTCGTTTAATCGAACGACGAACTGTCGTCTTAGGAAATCAGATACTAAAGTGTTTCATGGAGAACTTTAGTTTATTGAATCTGATATTACAAATTTTCGATCATTTTTATATCGGTATCATATTGATACACAATCTATTTGAATAAAGAGAAGGTTGAGTTTTCCCTAAAATACACTACAGGACAAACAGGTTTGAGAATTATGAATTTTCAAGTCAGTTTTATAAATGCTCGAAAACGTGTTTTTCATGAGTATCTTAATTTAACGCAAGTACTCTGACTTTAGCAACCGACTTCCAAATGACAATATATAGTTTTATGTTATAGAATTTTATAATGGGACCAAACTATATAACTGCGATAAATTATGCCAATTAAAATTAGAATTCCGACAGCTCGTGGAGTGATATATTAGTGCTAATCAACAATTAGGAAGAACCAAGTATAAAAGATGTCTTTTTGCGATTCACTTTTACTTACTTTTTTGTTATTAGTTAATAGTTCACAGTTATTAAATTAGCGTTATTTTTTCACTTTTTCTCTTGAAAAACTTGATGAATTTAAATGATACACATAATTTTAAAAATATTTATTAATTTAATTAATTCACACAATTTAAGGGCTTGTTAAAAGTTTTTCTGTTCATCATTCTTTATGCTGATGAGAAAATTATGTTATTTGTTATATTTGATATAAGCGACTAACATTAATTAATCAGATTATTTTATTTCTAATCATTCTGCTTTTATAGTTAACTTGATATTCTTGTCTTTATATCGTTTATTCGATTTTTCTATTATTGCTTTCAAAGATGATAAAATAATTTTTTATTCATGATAATACATAATTTCTTCTAATAACACATAGAGTTCAAAAATTTCCGTCGCATTTATGTTTGTAAAAAAACTATACAATGTGCCTTATACATATAGGCTGTTAATTAGCAGTATGGATATCTTTTATATAACTACATGAAGGACTGCACTGTTATATATAATATGAAGATTTTTACTACGCAGCAATGCCGCGTTAATATAGTCTGATTAGCATATATAAAATAATCAGGCTATAAATAATTCTACAAGTCAACCAAATTGAAATAATGGGGAACATAATATTGTTAATGTGAAAGGGAGATGCTGTCACTTGCCTTTCTTTTTAATTACCAGAAGCACGAGAATAATTAAATACTGTTATTGATTTATCAACTAATTAACGTCAATTAACCAATATTTACCGCATAGTTTTTAAGTTTTATCTCGTACGGCCCATACTTGTATGCTTCACATTTCCAAAATTGCATTTACATTTACATTTGTTGATATAAGTTATTGTATCGTTTAGCGATTCTGAGGTTACCGAATAACTCGAGAATTTTTAATTGAAAATACATGATCTGTATTTAATTTGTATCGATGCGGAACGCTTTTGTAAAATTCGTGTTTTAAAAGCGCAATATTTAGCTATTTTAGCTAACATAAAAATTGGTATTTTAACATAGATCTTTCTAGTTTGTGTTTAAGGCGTAGAAATAATCGCCAAATTGGGATCGTTGATAAAACATCGTATTGCCCATCACAAGGTGCTTTTGAATGTCTCTTGTCGAATTTGTCGTTGTGTTTCTAAATTAACATTAAACTGGTTTCTCAGAAATGTAAAATTACATCGCATTTACCTGAATAGGCGGATTGTGTAAACGATGTCTGATGGAACTATGCAGATTAACGAAACGTGTAAAGGTAATAAATAATTCGTTGTTTGCGCGCCACGTGACATCGTTTGACCTCGTTTATAAGCAAAGAGAATGATATTTTTGGAAATATGTTATTCAGCACTTTTGTAATTATTAGATCGCTGATAAGAGAATTTTTCAAATTTTAATGCAAGATTCAGAAATATATATTAGCGTTGTGTTTAGACAAATAATATTATATTATCGTATCAGATCATAAATAATGAATATTGTATATGTTATATAAATCTACGACTTATTAATTGCAGAATTCACTACAGCCATTCCTCTTTCTAACAAAAAAACTTCCCTTTTCACATTTTTTTATTCAAAAAAAAATCACAAAGACACATCTATCGTTTCTATTTTATCACAGTATGTATAATTTATTTTCATTCATTCTTCCATTTAGTCATAAATTTGATATTCACGAAAAACATCTCTGCGCATATATATATAAATCCCCTCGTTAAGATAAACATAATCAGAAGTTCTTCAGAGATTGTAATGAATCATTGTATTTTTTATATTTTATATTATACTACATGTTATATCCATATTTTTTAAGAATTAAGAGTACATCTATTTTTTTGGCATGACCACGCGATATCGCGATAAATTTGTGTAATCATGATAACACGGCAGAGTTTAATACATTTAATACTGTTTGAACAGACATTGCAAGTTTCACTGATGCCATTAATATTCATTGTCAGTGTTATCATAAAGTAATAAATTTTCGGTCACATAGCAGCTGCGATATAAATTAGTTGCAAAACAACTATCGCAGCCAAATGGTTCGTTACTGGCGAATGACGAGATTGCAAAATCAAATAAGACATTTAGGATGCAGAGATATAAAATATGCATATTTATTGAAAGTAATATAAATACAATCAAATAATGATAGATATCACATAAGATAGTCAAGATCGCTGTATCAAGTGCATGCTTGAAAGTCTCTGAGCTTGGTCCATCGCAAAATTTCAATCAATGCCGATAATTTGCGTGATCATGCGTGTGATCATTGAATTATTTTGAATTAACATGCAAAAGAGTAAGATATAAAATTTTCAGCATTAATGCCGAGAACCGTAATATATATCGAACTTATCGACCTTTCAATTCTCTCCTTTAAAAAAAAAAGCGTTTCTCGCTATATATATGTAATATTATTCTATCATTTTTCGCATAATTATCATCTTCAGCCCAGATCGCTTTCCAAATCTTATCGTAGAAGCAACTTTATTTATATGCTATAATGAACACTATACCTCGTTTGCTCGAAACGAGATATTTTACTTTAGCGGATCAATTGTGATAATTTATATTTAACACAATAATGCACGATACAACATAGAAGCGTGACTTGAAAGTATGGATGCGATACATGGTATTCCTTAATATGTAATGGAAAAAACTTAAGCGTTATATTGACTAATTAGACCGCACTGTCTAATCGTAGAATGCGGTGGAATGCGGCGAATGGAATATAAAGAAAATTTATGTTTATAATCGATGAATGTTAGCGCTGCCTCTGAAGTAAAAAATGAAAATTTTATAAGCAGGAAATTTATCATCCTTATATATTTTATATATTGCACTTTAATGCTATTATAGCAATCCCTTTCTTTCAATTCATATTTATACGATATAGGTACAAATCGAAATAATTATTATCGAAAGATTTTATACAATTTGTTTCCTGCTCATAAACGTGCCTTGAACACACATTTGTCGCAATGATAATGACCTAAAAGATGTGATATTTAAGGCCATATGGATTTTCGACGTAGATTTAAATTGAGTGTGGACAAAATCTTTTGCGCAAACATTTCGTTTTCGTTTCATACGCGTTTATATATATATATATATATATATTTATTTATTTATATATTTTAGTTAATGTGAAACAGCGCAACTTTCGATACGAGTTCTCAGTAGAAATTATGCAATTGAGCAAAATGAAAATAATTTAGAGTGTTTAAAGGTTCCTTAACAGTTAATATCGTTACAGATATGAGAAAGTAGGCAAATTTAGAACATAAATATAAATTATGCATATAAATCTTAGAAATAATGGAGATTATTGGATATCAAAAGGATAATATTGCTATAAGCGCAAATAAATGGATAGAATCAATATTTAATAAATAATTATAGATCGTGGAATTTTGTGCCAGATTTTGGAAGAAAATATATAATTTTTCGATCTTTTCCTCGAATGGGCAACGAATATCTTATACATTCATATACCGTTCAAGTGAGATTCTCTATTCTCTCAAGCGTAATCTTTAAAGAAAATTTAAATTTCTATAAAATTCTGGAATGAGCTTGTTGAAAATAAAATTAATTAAGTCGAGGAATGTAGAAGGCGTGTAATGATATTTTCGACGAATAACTCGATTTGACAGTTTAATTCTACGGATTGTCCATCGAGTGTCACGCTGCGCGATTAAATGTCAGCAGATTATCCCCTTCGTCTCTCGAAGAGGTGCTTGCAGTTTGTAGAATGTGTTGAACGATGACACATGTGACGAAGGATCCGCGTGCTGGCAGTGTCATTTTATTATAGCGTGAATTATCTTTTTTGTTCGTTCTTTTCTTTCCCCGCGTGTATGCAATACCTCTGTCGCACGCTCTTAGCCTGCCTGCTAATATCCGGCGAGGTCGGCAAACGTCTGATCCATCTCGTCGGCGATTGCTTTGTATTTACAGCGCTCGTTTACCAGCACGTCTGCAATAAGAAGGGAGGGAACGTGGTATTAGTGGACGGCACGATGGTTAGTCAGGTATACATTTTAATATTTTTAATTGGAAAGAGAAAGAGACACACACAACACAGTTTTACGGTTTGCTGCAAGATTTAGATTGATACTTTGGAGCTAGACGACCACTATTATATTGACAAACTTAAAGTGAAAGTTGAAGAAATAAAAATGTAATATTATGTTTTGCTCTTTTATCTAAAACCTATTTAAAGAATAGAATAGGTTTTTAAAAACAAGCCGCAGTTTTTTTTTAAGTTTAAGGAACAGGATATATTTTAGATGTAAAAGAGAAAGCAGTGCATTAAATTCTGATATCTTCTTTTATTTATTCTTGAGAGTATTCGAAACAAAGATGGCCTTATACAGATCGACAATTTCAAGTTAATTAATTTAACAGAAACACTAAGATATATTTTCAAAACTTAATGTTTTATTAATGATTCGTACAGAGATTGAACTGTACTCTTCTTTTTGCTCTATTTATCGTATGCTCGATTGTTAAAGCAGCGTAATGCAATTACGCATAATATATATTTACGTTAGAAATTATATTTGTAATTTTGATTTATATACATATATAAGCGATATTTTCGAAATAAATAAATAATTGCGGTTCTATGACTGCTCTACGCTCTCTGAAAGCCGAAAGTGCAATGGAATCGTTGATAAATAAAAAAAGAGAACATTTATAGAGAACGTGGAACATATTGATATTTATACATTGATTTTAGTTACTCCATAACAAAAGTATATGCATCAGATGGCCGATGTCGCGATCGAATCGTAGTGTGTAGAAATAGTTCGACAACGGATGCGAATATTCGGTAACCCGATTTAACCAACCAATTCGGTGAAAGTGAGGTCCAGGTCGTCGCAGATGTATTTGTACTTCTCCTTCTCGTGGACGAGTTCGTCTGCAAAAAAAACATAGTTATTGTAAAAATATCTCACTCATCATATCTTTATCAATTGTATCTTAATATTCATTTTGAGATAAAATAAAGTGCGCAATTTTGATCTTATTAAGTACATCGAATATTTAATTTTAAAATCAGAATAGAAAAAAGATATGAAACTGATATTAAGATCGCGGATTCTTAGATTGATGAAAGATTCCTTCAGGTGATTTAATTAGAAAGCTGTGATTATTAGCAGCAAGCGGGTTAAAAAAGCATAGATGGGTAACTTACGGAATAAGTATTAAGTGCAAGCTAGATTTATAAGAAAGGTTTTTGATTTTTAAGTATTAGGAAGATAATTAATAGCTGCGTTAGACGCCATAAAGCTCCATGAATGCATTATCCAGGCCATCTCCGACCTCTTTGAATTTCTCCTTTTCGATCACCATCTCATCTGCAAGCATTTGCAATGTTATAGGTATAGCTGTTACTTAATTATGGTTCATCTATTAATGCGTGGCATGTGTTATGTAAAAAATGCTCGAAACAGTATTTAGGAGAGATGTGGAAATTAGAGCGTTTATTAACTGTTAAAGTCGCGTAAATAAGCAAGCACGCGATTGTAGATCAACCAAGCAGTGAAAATAATTAAACTAATATATATATAATCTAATAGGTTGAATAAGAAATCTGGCATATATATATGAAAAAATAAAATGATAAAAATTATTCATCAATCATACTCCAATTATCTCCAAATTTCTCCGATCAAAAATCTATTTTTGTACATATATATATATATATATATATATAGTGTCGCTCTCTTTAACTCTACTGATGTGTGGTTATTTGAATTCAAAATATTCTTTACATTAAACTGAATTTTTTAATTAATTTTTCCAGAATGTATTAATATAGTCAAATGATTATGCTTATGTAAATCGATAATGTATAATTTATCTAGCAGATATCGATGACGTGAAAATGTTATTTCAATATTGGTAAAAGATTGCGCAAATTAAAAAGGCATATCTGCGAAAGTAATTATGACAAAAATGAAGACAATCGGGCGAATTTTATAGTATCAAATATATGAGATTTGTCATGCGTTAAATAGCAAAATCCGATATTAAGCGGATTTACTCACCGTAAATAAAGTATACGTACCACACTTTCTTCGTTTATCATGCAACTTGTTAAAGGGTTGTCTAACAAGGCGGCCACACAGTTATATTATCGCGTGGACATGTAGTTATGTCGTTATGTTAACTCGCGTAGGATTATTAGGTAAAAAAAAGGTAACGACACACAACAAAAAACAAAAACGACACACTCTTTTTTCAAAATTAAAATATATATTATAAACAGTTTTATAATAATAGTAAATATATAATATTCATTAATATTACAATGATATTAGTGTTATTATCATTCCATTCACATGTTTTTTTCATTAATATTAAGTAAATTATTAAAAACTACAACTCTCTTAAACTCAAGTATCTATTCCATTTTAGCATTATAAAAAAAATGTGGCTAACAAAACTCAACGATAGGACATGTAGTTGTGCTTTTCGCGATTGCTATTTTTTAAAATAACGTTTACGCGTGACGTTAACTTGAAGAATACACGCGCTGTCTTCGGGTGGCCTTTCGATAACGCATATGTTACTGTATATATGTTAATTCATCGTCATCTTCGCATAAATATAATTATTGCTTTCTCGAAATGTACAATTCGAAATAATCCGAATTTTCGAACGAAATATTGTTAGACAACGCGATTGTTAATATCACACATGATCATGATTAAACGTCACCTAATAATCAATATTATTATCTATTATTAATACTATGATTGTATTTAGAGCAGAAATATCAATTTGTACAATATAATTCGACGCGACGGAAACAAAATCGTAAAGAGCTAATTATTAAAATTAAGACTTCTCGTGCTAAATTTTTTCATCTCTTTTCTGTAGTTTTTCATCCAGGAGTCAATCCCGAGTATATTAAATCTTATATTAAATAGCTTCGTATCTTTGCGATCACTTTACTTATCATGTGAGAGAGAATAATGTAGTGCATGCATTTATGTATACCGAAACGAAAAGAGGACGATGCATATTCCTACATCAAAAGGCCATCCAAGAATATGTTGCAGGAAAAGTGCTACAAGAAAAACCACGAGTTACGACATCGAAGTCAATATTATTATATTATTGCGACATAATTATCTCGTTAAAAAAAAAAGATTGAATGAGAGAAATCATTTCTATCCAAAATTAACCATGTTCGAGCATCAAATAGCAGCGATATTAATAATGATTGTATATCAATTAATAGTAATAGTAATTAGGGGCAAAAATTATAGGAGAAATGGAACTAACGTCGGATATCTTCGACCAATCGCAGTCATTATTTCCTCCGATTTTTTTTACGTTCGAAACGAAGCACGTTCCCTGCATCGAGATTTGTTTGGCCGAGGTGTGTGATTAGTATTTATGTAAATATATATACAGGCACGATCGGTAAATATCGGATTGGCTCAGCTGGCACGGGAAGCTGTAGAACGATATAAAAAAAAAGTCAGTTGCTTCCCCGTTAGTATCTTGAGCATTAGATAATTTTTCGTAGGCTCGAAGTTAAACACACTAGGCCAAATGCATAATAATTCTCGATTGTTTGATTCTACAAGAAGAAAAATCGGAATTATATGGCAATATCGTATCAATGCGTTCGGTTTCAATTATTTAATCAAGTATTGCACAACGAAGACAAAGACATACTACGAAGATATAGTTTTACAAAATTGCTGGCGGTTTGGCAGTGGAAGTCTGTTAAATGCACGATTATTTACGTCTTTGTTCTCATCGGCGGCAATGAGAAGATATAACGCGATATCTATTTAAGAAAAAACAGATAAATGAAAGAAACTGACAAGTTTTTCTCTTCTCGCGCGAGCTGAGCCGCGTGAAAACGAGGAATGTAAGGCAACGGAAAAAAATAAGCTGTTTCCCTCCATTATGTAGGAGTCTGCATATTTTTGTTCTTTTGTATCGAGAGAAGCACGCACAAATTCGATAAAATGTTCGGCTAATCAACTGATGAATAAAAAAATGTTCGTAAAAGTCACTTCTAAAAGTTTTATTACTTGGTAATCATTCTTTTTAGAGAGAATCTTTTAGTTGAGCGCGGATTATTATAGAAATATAACATATTATATATATATATATATATATATATATATAATATATATACATTTAAATACACATATATATACATCGTTTTTGGCGCATAAAATTGATACGTTTGAGAAAATTGGTTTGAAAATCTCTCACATCGGACTTTTCCTCTCTCGATACAAACAAATCGATCCGCGCGCGTCTCTCTTCTCTTTTTTCCCATTCTACTTCCCTGTAATCTCTATTCACGTATTCCACTCACGATCAGTAACCATTTTTTTGAACGAAATTGAAATCTAGACGAGCTCGAAGACACCTCAAACCGGTCGCAGCCATGCCTCAATTTTTATCGAATTAAAATTTAAAGGCAGACTACAAGCTAAAATCTAAAGCTAAAATCAAATTTCGATTACAAGTAACTTTATTATTTACGAAATCATCCTACCACCTGTTCCTGTCGCGTATTATACTTAAGACTTCCTCATTCTCCACCTTTCAGGTCCACGCTCTTTCTTTCTGCCTCTTCCTTTTCCATACCCACATACACACACGCATACACACATGCATACACACACTCCATTCTTCTATTTTCACCTCCTTTCTCTCATCTTTCATCAGTCCGTGCATCTTGCGATACGCGCCTGCAGATGGGCATATGTAACGCACACAGACACACGTATAATACGTACACGTACTGCGGATGGACGTAATGGAGGGTATAAGGCTAGTCTAAGGACTGCATTTTTATCCGTTAATATTAAGGTATGCACCACACAAAACGCTCGCGCTGTATATAAAACGCGCGTGTTTGCTTCTCTCATTCACTTCTTCTCGTTACCGCCGTTCAACTTTATTCGCACGCAATTTTCCTTTCGTTTCCTTTTTCTTTTCTCATAAGTTTCCGCTCTTTCTATCTATGAACGTTCTCGCGTTACGCGTTTTTTTTTGTCCATCGCGAAAAATATGATCTACATATTCTGGATGTCATGCAGAGTGGCCTCCATCTCCTCCTGCAGCAATTTGTTTTTCTCTCTCTCGGCCGCGAGGTCGTCTGTAAAGATCACTGGTTAAAGGGAAGTAACACACGGCAAGCCACACGCGAGCGTAATACACTGCGTTTCGGCGGTTAGATGGGTCAATTGCGCAAATAAAACAGCACACACTTACATATACACACACGTACACACACTGCGAGAAAAACGGGAATTGTTTTGCGATTGTCGAACCGCGATTTTCTTGTGTGTATATCGCAATTAGAAAGACTAATCAACATAGATTTGAGATATTTGGGGTATTTGATTTGATATTTCATTATTTCGATTATTTGAGTATACTAGATATACGAATTTTCTTCTGCTATCATTTCCGTCTATTTAAAAATATTAAATTTATGAATATTAATTCATATATGCATATATAATAATTAGGTTCTTCATTATGTTTTTAACTGTGTCTCAGAAATTCAAATCCGTTCAAGTATGACATCGATTCTTTAAAAAAACCTACTTGGATAGATAATTTCTAATCGTTATAAAAATCTTGCTTGAATTCGTTTCTCTTTCTCTTTCCACTTGATAAAAAAATTATATCATAAAATCTATATGAGATAATATGTATATTAATACATTTAAGAAATTCAGTTGAATTGACAATGAATCATGTCAAAGAGTGTAATGAGAATAATTGATATTGAAAAAAATAATTATATTAAAATGTGCGTTTTTTTTTTTTACTAGATACGTACCTTCGAGCCTGTCAACTTCCTTCTGGAGTTTCTGCACAGATCTTTCCGCGAATTCGGCGCGTGCCTCAGCCTACGCAAATACAATATATTTGTATGTCAATAAGAAAATTTACAGTTTTATTAAAATGTGACTCATCGATTTCAAAAAAAAGAGCATCTGTTTTGACTGCCTTTTGAAGTATTCGAGAATACATAATTCTTCCGCTAAATTAATTAACGAGTGTTTTACTTTCTTGAAATCGTTGAGATCAATAATTTCGGTCAATATCAATTTTCACGCCATGCAGGTAAAACGAATTTCACATCACACACGTTTAGAATTGCAAATCAATCTAAATTGAAGTTATAAAAATTTAATTACGATGTATATATATATATATTGCATGATTAATATCCTATTAATGAGAAGCACAGCTTCACTTATCAAACAATATTATTTAAAAAAACAATATTAGTACACACTCGTGTGCATCATACCTTGTGATGTAATCTATGAAGATTTAGGTAGATATTTATAAGGCTTCGAGAATTTCATGTGTGCGTAAAACTTTATAATTCATATAAGAGCATAAGAGTATATAATTAAAAAGCTACTTTTTTGCAAATATTTATCCTAAGCATTATTTTTTTATTTTCTTTTTCAGACATTTTTAATCGGAATTTAAATGGTGATATAATAACAGCTAGTATATATTTTTTAATATATTTCAAGTTAGCTTATTTATTTTTACATACACACCTCTTTCAATTGACTATCCAGAATCTTCACTTGGCCCTCAAATGTCTCCTCTCTCTGCGTTGCCTGTTTTTAATCAAGCACAACAAAAGACAAAACAAGCTATCGTTAGTTTATTGCAACGCAAAACACTATTTAGTTATTTATAAAAAAACAGGGTCAGATGTAAAACAATAAAGACACGCGAGTAAATATTTTAGTGGCAAGACCTATAAGACGCGAGGATGGATCACACGTTATTAAAAAATGCAAAAGCAAGACACTCCCAAAGGATGTGTACCTCCTTTAGACGGGTAGTGAGGGTCTTAATTTGATTCTTGTATTCCTCCTCGCGTTGGTTGGCCTATATACAATCACGTAAATATTATTTCTCTCTCGTATAACAATGATTTAATTTTTCCCAGAACATTTGATTGGAGGATATTTTATTACGTACTTAGCGTAAAATGACGTTTATCTTTAAATTGATGCCAACACGATTTAATTATTACAATTTTGTCGATTTAATTTACAATTTATGATCAACTTATATATATATATTATAAAACGATGTATCTAATTTACTTTCTATTTATAATATTATCCCGACATTAAATGTGAACTAATTGGCAATTAAAGAGAAGTCATTTTAATATAAAATTAAGGAACGAATTAAGAATATAATCCCTGGAATCATGTTCCGGTCTGATTGTGTTGTATATCGCGCATAAAATACATAAATCATTTACCTTTTCCTCGGAGACCTCGAGGGACTTCAAGTTATTGCCGACGACACGTAATTCTTCTTCAAGCTCTACGATCTTGCTGTAAAGTTAATTAACTGTTTAATATAAATTGATAAATGAGATTTTGAAATTTATAGGTCGTCGCATAAAGGAAAATGAGAGAAAGAGCAGAAAATATTGAAACTACATGCGAACGTTTCCAATGATCTTGAATAATTATTTTCTATTATTAATTAAGCAATTCAAGAGGAAGTAGAGTTAAAAACAGAATTTATTTCGAGATAAAAAATAATTATGATGCAATTTTATCGTAACGTCAAATTTTATATCAGTAAAAGATTTGATATGATACAAAATGATAAAAAGGTACACTGTTGTATTCGTGTTGTAAAATTTTTGTAACATTTTTGAGTTTTTGAAACGTTCGGCAGTAATTTAAATTTGTGAATTACATAACAAGCGAGCGATGACAAAGTGTCGCACAAAGAGAAAAAAGGATGCATGCATGTGATTGCACTTACGATTCGGAAAGTTCGGCCTTTACCTCGGCACGTTCGAGATCCTGCTCCATCATGGCTAGTTTCCTGGCGACCTGTGATCAACAGCCACACATGTCATGCGCAAAAGCAAAGGTGAGGTGGGTGTAAAAAAATAGTAATTAAAAAAATTTTTATAAATGTCAGCATGCACAGCATAAAATGTCGTAAATGTCATTCTCCTGGCTTCTAAGGGCTCCTTCCAGCTGTCGAAAAATTAGTATAAGTGCACTGTGCCGCAATATTAATGAAAATCATATATGAAAATCACATCTGCGTCTACGAGTGGTTCTTTAAGTCAATATTGTATCAAAAATAAATGATTTTGGGATGTAAATGTTACTGCATAGCGTACTGAGAAAAATTTACAATGCTGTACCAATTAAAATTATTGTATTCAATTTATTGTAATTTTTTACTTATTTTCCTCAGACGCAGAAGGTGTTCGTAGAGAAAAGCCATTATTACCATATATCGAGATATTATTGAGAAAACATCTAATATTCCTCTTAACAATTAAGATTATGACATTTCGTAATCCCGGCTTTTCCTACGAAGAGATAGATATTAATTCGAATACTCCACAACGATACAATGCGATCACAACAAGTATCGTGCAAAAGTATCGGACGTGATTAAGGGGTACATAATTCCATGTCGTCGTCATGATGCGAGCTAACGGTGTCAAAAGTTACGGGAGCGAATCGAAGCGCGATCGACAAAATGCGAAATGAGAAGAAAGGGAGGCGTCTGGAAGGGAGGAGAGGATAAAAAAATTCACACTCGGGACAAAAAGTGTGCCGGATGAAAGAGATGCCTAATAAAAACGATGCTTACGACTCTCCGGCCTCGGCACGCTCCTCTGCGCGTTCTAGATCGGCCTCAACCATGGCCAATTTACGGGCGACCTGTTGTAAACGATACATACATACACGATTTCTAACATGTGTTCTCTTCTTCATTCTCCTCGACGATCGCGCTGTCTCTGAAAATTTCCAGAGGCAGCGAGACGTCTCGTCGTCGGCGTCGTAACCGCGATTGGAAGAGTTATGGATTTAGATTCTCTCTCTTTTTATGTGCTCAAAGTCCGCTGACGAGCTAAAGTGCGTGCGATGGTATTTGCGCTTAATCGGTATGCAAAATTGCCATTCCGCGAAAAACAGAGTCAATACATCTTCGATAAGAAGTATGATGTATTTTCTATATTCATTTTAAACGATCTATAATTCGCGACTTGGAACAGAATTTTGTTTATAATTTTATGCGTCGTATAATGCAAGAAAAATATATCAGAATACGTATATGTACAATATTAAAATATAACATATTTTTAAAATTGTATAGATTTCTGTTTTAAATTTTTTCATAAATTATAGATCATTTAGAGCGACTTAAAATTATGTAATATACTTATATTGAGAAAATTGATTAAATTAATGTGATATGATTTATAGAATTTAATATATATATATATATATATATATATATATATATATATATATGTGTGTGCCTTTTGTATTAACATTATTAATTATATAATTGTATTATTTAAGCGTATCTTTATCAGAGAATTTAGATTTAAATTGAAACGCTATAATAGCAAATTATTATGTATCAATCAATCAATTTTCTCAATCATTTGAAACGCTCATAAATGAATTATTTCTTCCAATCGAGCACGCTGTCGAAAATCGAACAATCAAAAATACAGCACGCCATATGCGTCTGACTCCTGATCGATTCGTAAGCGCACATAAAAGAGTAATCACTCTAGGACAAAAGACCGTCGTAGAATACGAAATATTTTGATGTTTTTTCGGTAAAAATTGTCAGCCATAACACATATCGTATCTTTTTTGTGTCCTACGATGATCTTTCATACTCATGCAGTAAAATTCTCGCACAATCATGACGCAATTAATCATAAAACGTTTTCCATAAAAATCTGACAGATTGGTAGCACGTGTGAATTAATTTATTTCACATTTCTTCACTCTATTTCCACTTTGAATAATTGCTCGTTTGAGATACAAATTAATCTGTCTTCTTGCACTCGACATAATTGCACGCGAATGACTGGCACAATGCTCGAAAAAATAATGCAATATTTCAAGGCGATGAAAAAAATGTCATTCAACTCGTTAAGAAAATTTAAATTATTCGTAATTACGATTTTTAGCATTGCGAATTAAATATTACGCGTAATTTATAATTATTCTAAACTTGGTGAAATTTTCCAATTTCATAACATCCATATCATTTTGCGATAAGATTGCGTCATATTTTTGCGAATAAATCGTAAGTTGTCTTATGTATGTATGTACATATATGTGCAAAAAAAAGGAGATTCAATGAAGACATCGGCACACACTCGGTTGCTGTTAGAATTTGTCGTCATCTCTATAAGTTTCTGTAATGGATGGACTGTTAGATTCGTTAATTAAGAGGTTATTGGCGACTGAGAAGGCAACTATCTACTGAAATAAATTGAACGATTCATATAACATTGCGATTAGATCAATTTCTCGCACACGACGATTAGTTTTTACGCATACCATTAATCAATGACGAATTAACAGATAGCACACAACGTCAGAAAGTAAAAAAGAATGAATTGATTGAAATTACGGTGAATTCAGAAGTCCCGATAAAAAAAATCTCATAGTTTATAATCTTCAATAATAACGTCAGTTTGCCACGATTCGAAGATAAAATTAAATTGACATTTTTTCATGGAAAAGTAATTAATATATAAAAAAATAATTAATATAGAAAAAAGTAATGTCTTTGAATTAAAAAATTAAATCGAACGATTCCGTTGATTATCAACCGCATACAAATAATTTTTCTCCTAGCGAATATATATACCATGTGGACGACTGAAAAGATTTCAAGTTATATCTACGGTATCTTATCCTAACTAGAGATAATATTGTAATTCTTGATATATAGATAAACAGCAAAGTGTATCAGCGTAATTTCAAAGTTATCGCGGCCAACACCTACCATCACAACTCTCATTATTTTGACGCATGTTCCGAATTCATCAGTAAAGCGAAACGAGCGTTTTTGGGCAAAAGCAGCACCGTGTGATATGCTTGACACGAAGCCGCGATAAGATCGTGCGGCCTCTCGCCGTTTTATCACAACACAATTGACGATATTTTTGTTAAAAATTAACGAGGCCGGATTAAGCAAACCGAGAGCACGTGGTCCAACTTCCACGACAATTTCGTTTCAGCTGAAGAAACTATCGAACTATCATAAATAGCGCTTCTACGAACTTCTTCGCGAACTTAGTCGTATACGACCTTCCCTAATCTAGAAGAATCTCTAATAACAAGAATATATAGCAACAACAGGATTAAATCCTAATTATAAAACTGGCACTTGAGACATCTTATCTTGGCTTTAACCAAACAGAGAAAACACTTGGAAATCACAGATATCTGATTTTTTTCGATTGAATCGCGCTCGAAACACGTAAACACTAAAAACTCTCTCAATATCACTCTCTTTTTCTTCTCGCGTGATAGATTTCTATAGATTTTCTCTGTACTTTGAGACAAGAGAAGGAGAACGATCTTTTTTTTTTTAAACACTGCACTGTCGCGCGACGACAACACGTTAAAAACTTTTCTAAAAAACTTTTCACTTTGATTCGCAGCCCAATGCAATCACAGATCGACATTCACGAATTGCCCTTAATTCTTCGAGATTTCACTGCGAGATGTCTCGCACGTAAAACCTTTTTCTTTTAACAGACTATGAACAAACGATTCAACAAACGTGAGACACATATATATCTTCATATTTTTTTTCCGCGACAGAAACGCGTATCAAACCACGGTGTTTTCGAGCACACAAAGAGAAGACAGAGAGTTACAGGGTTAGGCACTATTTTGACTATCGACTAGGAACCATCATCGTCATGATGATTATCATCGTCACTGCAGCCAACACGCTTGACAGTAGCAGTCGCGGGCACGCGAACCTCATCGTATTTCTTGTCGGCTTCTTCAGCGAGGAATCTGGCCTCCTTCAGCTGATTCTCAAGGGCGTCCATACGCTCCTCATCCGCCAAGCTGCGATTCTCGAGAATCTTGCGGGCGCTTTAAGGTGGACACATGCCGAACGAAAGAATTTATGATTACAAATCGATTACACAAATGGATAAATTATAAAATAGATTTCTGACGAGATCATCGAAGTACGCCTGCTCTGCTCAGCTACGAGCCACGTCTACCTGTGAAATTTTCCTGAAAGAAAAGGAAGGAGAACTACCAGCCGATCTGGACAAGCCTTTTTGTATTTATATAGGATTGATTAATGAATTGTCTAAGCAAACCGAAAATAAAGTTCTATTTTTTTCACAAGTTATTCTACTATTTCTCTTTCGTGAAAAAATTTTAACAAATAGTAGGTTTCTACATTCATAAAAAAAACAATAAAACGTAAGGTATCATTGGTTGAATGTCCTAATAGTTGGTAGTTTGCCTTCGACAAGGGAAATAGAGGGCCCTTCGTCCCATTTCTATTGCTCTTTGTTCGTTGATACATGACCCACCTCCTCATATTTCTTATCCGCCTCCTCTGCGATCAATTTAGCTTGTGCTAGCTGCTGCTCCAACAAGGATACTCGGTCGTCCTCCATGTTGGTGCGGTTTTCGAGGGCCTTGCGTATCCTAACGATCGATTGTTTGTCGATTTTTAGAAATAAATCAATCGCGATTGAAAAAAATATCATTGTCGCGTATAAAATGCGATTACTATCCCGATTTTTAACCAATTTAAAAGTTTTGCCTTTTTTACTTATATGTAGAAACAATGCAAAAATAAATTTAAATGCAAAACAATTTTATTATGTTTGCATATTAATTGAAACAGTAATATGCATTTCAATTTCACGTCCTTCTTTGTAGTCTAATAATTATAATCAATAACAAATCAAAAAATTAATTATCTTGACACTCTGACTCGTGAATGTAAGAGAGAATATATTATTATATGTATGTATGTCTCTCATAGCAAGAAGTAAGGAGTAGACGTCATTCCTTATCAACGACGATAAGCATAGCGTTATTTTAAGCATTTACGTATTGTCGTAAAATAATCATGATGGATGATTAAGCTTTCAAAATTGCAAATGCATTTAATGACTACTTTTTTAATACTTAATATTTTTTTGCACGTTTTATTATATAGATATATTATAAAAAATAAGAGAAAAATTCAACTAGAAGAAAAATATAAATAATATGTTTCAAATTTTTATGACGTCGTATAAATTTAATTTCTTAAGCAATAAATAAACAGCATAAAAGTACACATATTCAGAAATTATTCTCCACTGTAGAGTAAAAATCAGGAAAAATGTCTTATGTAAGAAGTTAAACGACATTATCGCGTCTCGCGGTAAATATAATACGAATGTTATCAAAAAGCAGGCCAGGATGTGGTATTGAAAATCCGTAAAATTTTATTTTAAAGATGCAAAAGAGAGAAAATATCACGCAAACTTGTTATCCAATATTATTTTTTAAATTATATACAACGTAATTTTGACGTATTTTTATTAAAATTTTTACTAAGTGTATTAAACACTTAAACACCTACTCTCTTGCATATACCTCTCTCTTGCATATGTATTTATCATAAAAACAATAGGACGGAATTGGAATAATGATTGTATTTCTCGAAATTTTGCATTTATCATAATTATATAAGCGTAACTGAATATTAAAAAACTATCGTGCGTTCGAACCTATATTTGGCATGTTATTAGTCATAACGAAATTACGTTGTATCGCAGTTCTATAATTAAATCGCGAAAGAATGAATCAAGAGATTTCCATTCTTTCAGATCAGTTCTTTCAATGCGATACAAAATCAATTTTCGATACTATACCGAATTATTTTATAAACAAAAAATAACACACGATTCAGAATTATTGTAATTCCATATTAATATTCATATAAAATTTGTATTGCGAATTTTTATATAACAAAAGTGGTATAAATTATGTTACACACAATAACTTTTGGAAAAAAGATTTTTATATTTTGGAAAAAAAATTCATGCTTTATTTTTTTACTGAGATATAAATTTATAATAAAAAATTATTAACGCATTATTTTTCTAAAAAATAATAAAATAAATAATAAGATAAAATCAAAACCGAAAACACTGATGATTTACACCACTTTTGTGTTTGTTTTTTCATTACGATGATTCGTATGTAATAAAAATGATTAAAAGTAAATTTTATAATAAATCTTATTCTCCAAATAAATATTTTAGTCAATAATTATCGAGTATTAAACTGCATCGATTATCGTCGAGAGTAAAAAATTATTTTATAGTCTTATTAATTTGTATTTTAATAGTACAATATGTAATATTTCTATATATGTTACTTTTAATCATTCTTTAAAAAAATATCTGACAATGATCAATCTTTGCTATCAATGGAAAGCAAATATATATTTTCATTATAAATTTGTGTCGATTATTAATCAGTCATGGAGATGTTTCGTTTCTGATTCATTAATTGATAACATAATTGTTCATTGTAGATGTATGGAATGATGATTCGCATGAATAAAAATACTGGCAATATTTTTGTATGATAGCAAATATTTACCGTTCGCTCTCATCGGCAGCCTGCGACGCCTCCGCCAATTTGGCAGTGGCAGTGGCAAGACGCTCCTCGGATCTCTCGAGGTCCTCCTCCAACAGCTGAATACGACGATTCAAGGCTGCGACTTCGGACTCAGCCTGTAACACAAGAAAAAATCCATTTCGTAAAATAAAAGTTAGCAATTTGTAATTCGTTATCTTTACAATAGATTAATTAATTGATAGGTATTAATATTTCATGTGCATTTCTCAATATATAAAAAAATGTAACTTTCCAAATCGAGATATGATCGACAGGATCGACTTGACTTATTAGTGAAATTATACAGAGCAACATAAGAGATGAAATAGCTGATCTCTTATTATTCTCTGCACTTTACTGGCACGACATTGCAATTAAATGTATGTCGATGCCGGATTAGAAACGATCTGAATCCAATATAATGCCATAATGTGATGAAAGAACGTGATCAAAGCTTATCGCAACAAAGCGCTCAGCTGGAGATCGTAGAGATTTCTACGTGCATATCAAAGACCTTGTGTACTGCATTAAGAATTGATACAAACAGATTACCATTGCATATATATTTGATTTTGATGAAAATATGATGTTGCTTCGTTTATTTGAATGGTCTTGAAATTTATCCGAGATAAATATTTTTAGATTTCATTGCAGATTAATGAAGTATAAATTCTTGATATAAACGATAATATTCGTAAAATGTTCGCGGAAAATATATAAGATTATATTGAATTAGCTAGAAAAATTTTAACAGTTCTTATACTAACATAAGTAATAAAGATTAAATAAATTTTTATTTTAATAATTAAACGGTATAGTTCAAATATATTATCGTTTATCAAAAGGAGTGAGCATTCATTATAATTATTATATAATTAGCTGATTTCTATATATGTTTTCAATCATGACAAATCTATATTGTGCCAAAAAATTCTTTGATTTTTTTCATCGACATAAGAAGCTAATTTTAGTAATTAATTTTAGAAAAACTAATCTGTAATTTATTGAAGAAATGTACTATTTGCAGAATTGTACGAGATTAAGCGAAGCGTACGATTTTCACGGATGTAAATTACTTAACGGTCGATTACACGTGTATCCGCATACACAATTTGAGGCCCTTGTCCTCGTTAACTGCACCTGTTTACGATTGTGCATTTTAAATGGCCCTAATTCATCCCGCAGGGAACATGCGCTCATTTACAACGTTACTTTATTAGGCATGAACTTTGTATTCATGGATTTCGGCGCACCTATGTATATTTTATGGGGATGATGTCATGTGAATTGAGATAGCAACGATTGCATAGTCAGTTAAAGGTAATCATCGCATATTGTAAATCATGCCTTTTATTGCTACAGATAATATATGATATTTAATTCTTTTTTATTAAGTGCGACAAAAAATTCTTTCAACAAAAGATGATATTTGCATTATATACGCACATTGAAGAAAAAATTAAATTAATAAATATTTATTTCAATACTGCCTTATAAATCATTTATTTGAAACAAATATTTATCCGTTTCGAAAAGAATTTTCTTATATCAAATAAATATCTTTTTACATAAAATCAATATTATTAGTTTCAAATAAATGATTTATAAGGCAGTATTGAAATAAATATTTATTCAAATTCAATACTTTCTTTTCCAATGCAAAACACGTTAGCCAGTAATAAACATGATGAACGATTATAAAATAAAATGAAAATAAATGTACAGTATGACATTTGATTTTTATCTATATATCTTGAATTTTGAAGTGATCATTTTATGAAAGTGCGTCATTATCATGTCGCACATATTGATGTAAAACGTTTATATTTATTGAATAATAATATTTTAATAAGCTTTACACTCGTTATCGTTGAACTTGAATGAATGCGCGTTTAACAATTGAAAAATCTGACGACCGGCAATTCTCACCGCGCTATTCTACGCCCGATCATGCGTACACGCAACGTTGCGCACGCTTTTGTGCGGCGTTTCTTTACCGATACAATGCGAATTTTGTATTCGGAGGAAACCGACACGCCCAACTCGCACTTGTGCCGCACGAACAGGTCATCGCATCGGTGTGATACCCGTGGCAATGTTGGCAAGTGTGTCGAACTTCCGCCTCGTCCGACCCTTTCTCATCAGCTTCCCATTTAATTCGTTCTACAATTCGATCAGTATGTATCGATTGATAATATTATTTAGTGAGTCGAGTGTGTATTTTTATCAGATATCTTAAAAAGTTCGATTCGACATTGTCAATTCATCGATATAAAAATAAAATCTCATGAATAAATAAGAGGCTGCAATGTTTATAGAAAATGAAGTCACAGTAAAAAATAGAAGATGTAAGCTTTATAAATATAGATCATCTTTTATAAGCAACAAATTTATTAAAATAAAATTTATTTCGAGCTTTATTATTTATTAGCTGGTATATTATTAGCTAACTATTTATATATAAAAAGCCAAGCTCTCTCCATTTCTCTTTAAAGAGTGATTTAAATCGTTTTTAGCAATTAACACGTACATTTATTTATCGAATCCTATAAATAAGATCCATAAGATAAAAATTTTATTACACTTATTCGATGTTTTTTTCTGTGTCGTGAAAATAATCTCCTATGAGCTCTCAAACGGACCGATATTACAATCGTATATGCGAGATATCCGCCAAGTATACGTGATTGACATTCATCTGTAAATAAATTTGCTAAAAGGCGTCGCCTGAAATCGAGGCGGGAGAGACGTCGGCACTCTGTTATGTAAACTTCTCGAGCTTCGGATAAAGACTCGATACTGTCATTTCGAATCCCTAAGATATCGGATCATCCGTCAGTCGATATACGCGAGCAGATCCAATAAGAGACTTGCCTCTTTCTTATCGCGCCTATATCTAAATCTGTATATAAGTATATATAAATCCGTAATTGAATAAACTGGCGTCATTCGCGTTATCATCGTATCTTATTGGAATTGCGAAAAAAAATCGCGGTTTCGCAAAACAATACTTCATCGCTCGATCACAAAAGCTTATTAGTGCGGCTTGAGCGAATCTCTATATCTCTATTGGCCTTTATAAAACATCGCATTATCGAAGTGCACTCTGTCGTGAATGCATGTTGAAATTTCGCGATGCATTTTCGCCTCTGCGCCGGAAAATAAAACGCATTGTCATTTCCGCGTATAAGCATTATATTACGTCTTTTGTGAAATACTTATAGTTTTGTCGGTTTACATTTCTCGGAAGAGTTTTAATTATAAATTATTTCATTTTTTTACGTCGTACAAATATATTATTTTAATGTAACTTAAATGATAGATTTGATATGAGATTGTTAATATTTGATCATAATGTCAAAATAATGATGTGCAATTTAGAAAATTGAGAATAACATATTGAAAGATGAAATCAATTTATTATTAACTATACTATTATATATAGCTTAAATTGATATACATATAATGAATGACTCATAATCTCCTGCAATTAATGATAGAACGAATAAATGCAGTTGGAAACTGCCAGTTTCCAAACTTTCAATTAGGGATATGATTGATTGTCATTCTATACAACAGGATATTGAAACGGTCGATGGGCTTCTTTGATATGCTCTGGTAGCAGAACAAAAATGCACATTCTGAATGATAGACTCAATATAGTATGCTATGCTTGTGCGATTTGCTTTAAAAAAAATGTTTCAGTCTAAAGTAAATATAAAGTATAATTGATAATGCGTAATACAAAAAAATAATTGTTATTCAAGATCTTTATTTTAAATTGATATTAGTCTGTGAAATACTTTACGTCAACATTTAATGATAAACAATATTGATTCAAACAGAACATCATATATGATAAATATTAGAAAAATTTTAAATGTGTCTAGTGATATAAGATAATTTTAAAAAATTATAATTTTACTTAAATTAATTTAAAAAGTGTTTTAAAATAAATTATTGACTTAATAAGGCTTGAGAAAGCGTGTGACACATCGGTTTTGCAAACATGAGGATCAGAGTCTATTTTCATGACTCATTTTACTGTAGATCGCTGAATTTACATATAACTGTATATCATTGTATCATCTAGACTTTCAATCGTTCGATTGTAATTCTGGGAATTATTTTATTATAATTTCAAGAAATCTGTTTCTTGCTGCATATTTAAATATTTAATGCGAAAAAAACTTTCTTGCTTTTAATGATAAATTATCAGCTTTAAAGTGTTACCAATCAGAATATCTCGTATTTTTTATTTAAATTTTGTTCGCACATGCATTTTTTAATTATCAAAAATTCTGATGAAAATACTGTAAAAAGTAATCTCTCTAAACCTTTTCTGATGTCGCTGCTTCACGCAATATGTCTTCACCTTTCGCAATATCGACTTGACGCAATATCGTATCTGCATGTTAAGGGCAATTTTGCGGATCAACTGATCATAACTTTGACATTTGACGAGATGCGTGCATATAACGTCGCTATACTTGCCAATGAAAAAGATGCATGCGAGAAACAGCCAAGATTGCAATGTAAATCCGTTAAATCGAGGCTGATGAACGCACACCGGGAGGCTTTGGCTTGCCTCACTTGTGCACACTCTGCCACGTAGCCGTGTGCTTTACGCATATTGGCGTACCCGTGAACGAGCAAAGTGACTTAATATGCGGTAACTTCCAAGCCCTTCCCTAGAATGATCTCATCTTCTCGTCGCGAAAAATTCTCGACGTGTGAGAGGCGAATTATATAGGTGATATTATAATCATTGTAAATATATTGCAAAATATTATGCCTAACATCGGATTGAAAATTTTATATTTTTATATGAAATTGTTTTAATGTACATTCATTGATTGTCAAGTAATCATTTTTATCAATTTTTCAAGTAATAATCCAATAAAAGCATTTTTTATGTAGTTTATCTCGAGTAAAAAAAATATGAATGAAAAGATATTTTGTATGAGTCCAGCGTTCATATTTGTGTAAAAAAAGATCATAACATAAATATGTATAAAAAACTTTCTGGAACGGTAAACTACAATAAGTAATTGTCCAAATATGGTAAACGAATTAATGCGGAATTATTCGAGGGATTATAAATAGAGTTAATGCA